CTCAGTTAGGACCAAAGTATATCAACGATCTCCTGCATAATTATGAACCATCAAGGTGTCTCAGGTCTTCTGGGACGGGTCTGCTCTCGGTTCCGATTGTAAGAACAAAACATGGAAAAGCAGCGTTTAGCTATTATGCCCCGACAATCTGGAACAAACTGCCTGAATCGTGCACGTCCGCAGAAACTCTTACTATTTTCAAATCCAAACTAAAAACATGTATTTTTGCCGCTGCTTTTAATTGAACTGCTTTTAATTGAACTGCTCATATTCGCACTGCAGTTTGCTTTTTATTCATGTATTGTATAACTTATATTTGCCTTTGAAATGCCTGTTGTAAAATGCCATTATATAATGTGTTTTTACTGTATTTATTCTTAAATCTCTTTTATTTTATTTTGTAAAACACTTTGAATTGTCTCGTACTGAAAGGTGCTATATAAATAGACTTGCCTTGCCTTGGTGCTAAATGAAGCCCAGTATTGTTTTACTTTTTAAAAGCCAAGCACTGCAATGCAGATCCACTCTAAAATGTAATGAGGTCTTCTTTGTCCCATGCTACAGCTTCCACCAAGTTTCATGCAAATCCTGCCAGTAGAGCAAACCAACAGAGAAACAAAAGAATAAATGGAACCAAAAACATGACCTGAATATTTTACCGTTTAAAAATCTCTCTGTTTCAGATGATCCAGGTGCCCCAGAGAGGACCAGGTTGTCAACACTTCCTGACCTGTGCGATCTGCCTGACAGCCCCTAAGTTCATGGGCTGTGGCTGGTGCTCTGGAGTTTGCTCCTGGGAGAGCGAGTGTCAAAGTCAGTGGAGGAACGGGTCCTGCCTGCCGGGGATCACTGGGGTGAGGTTTGTTTCCTAATCCAAGGGAAAAACGTCTCTTTGTGCGACTAATAAAAACATTTTCAATTAAAGATGGCACTATAGATTCTGCTTTATTGACGCAGTTCTCTCCACGGACTGCTCCTCCCGATGGTCAAACAGAGTTCACGGTGTGTGGATGGGAGTTTCAGTCGCCTTTAAGACCCGCCATCACATCCAGAACCCACCAGGTCCGACTGGGGCAGACTGCTTGCACTGTTCTTGCAGTGAAAAGCAATAACACGCAGTAAGTGTCTTTGTTTTGGTTCCAAGAACAGTCTGTTGTAGTTGTTGTAAAATTGTACCCTCAGGATTTTCTTGCGCTGTAAAAGAATAAAAAGAAACATCTGGTTATTATTTCTTTCCTAGAAGCTTTCTGTGAAAGTGAGAAAAACAGAGCACAACTTTGTCAGACTAGGTTTTAGTCAATTAAGTATGTTTGTGTAGAGACTAGGATGAAACTCTACAATATCTGACTCACATTCATCTAACATGGGGTGCTTTTGAGATGATGACCAAATAGCAAATGCATCTGCCAGAGCAAATAAAACATTAATACAAAATAACAACTTTAGGCTAAACATTTTTTATGGCAAAAACAGCAAAACTCTGGTCAGTGCTACTTCATATGTTTTTTTTTCTAAAATGAAGGGCTTCTGGACAAACTGGCATTTAGGATTGTGTTTGGCACATACGATACAAAACGACTTAATCGTTACAAGTCTAAAGACACTGCTGTAGCAAGAAGCTAACAGCATCATGGTATTATAATAGTCACAAGGATAATGCTAAAATGCAGATTTTTATCAGGTAGTCTTTTTTACCTTTAAGTTTACCTTCTTAGTTTAGAATTTTAGTATGCTAACATTTGCTAACACACACAACACATAAGACACATTTAGTGAAGTTACGCAGCTAGTGCTGTTAAGAAGTCTTACAAATAAATAATAATGTTCTTTACACAATAAGCTAATTCTATTAAGGCATTCACAAGAGTCAGGGGATTTCTTTAACTTGAAAGCTGGTGTTGCAGTGACTGCATTTGTCCTTGACACTCGTGTTTTGTGGCGCTGCTCTTCAGCTTGGTGTGTAAGATTCGCTCCGGGGCCGCTGAGCTGTCCAGACCCGTTAACATTACAGTGGAGGTGCATGAGGGCAAGGTGGAGGGACGCTACTCTATTGAAGGGAAGGCAGAAATGCCAGGATTCATATTTGTGGTAATTCTTGCTGTTATTGATTACATCATACAAGCTTTACATTTTCAAACAATCTAATCTGCTACTACTTTTCAAAGACATTTCTTTGCCAAATAACTTTCATTTACTGTCCTGTCAGACTCCCAACATCACAGATATCCAGCCCAACTATGGGCCTCGTGTTGGGGGTACGCTCATCACAGTGACTGGACTTCACTTGGATGCTGGGAAGACGAGGAGAGTCACTCTCAATGATGTTCACTGTCCGATAAAGAGGTTTGGAAATACCTATTTATCATCTGTTTCCATTACACTATCCTTAACTTCTGTGTACTGTAATTATGGTTTGGGAAAATACAGAGTGACGCGACAGGTCTTGGCATCCAAAGACTGACTCAGAACTAAAGTATTTTGTACTTTTTGAACCTGCAAAATATATTGATTTATGGCATACTTACTTGTTATGGCATGTAATTCCCGTACCTCCGTCTCTCCACAGAGTCACAAAGCCCAAAAGCAACGTGTCCTCCATCATCTGTCTGTCCCAGCCCATCTCAGAGGTGAGGGACGTCCCTCTGAGTGTTTTCATCGACAAGTCTCCTATCCTCACCACAAAGGTGTTTTACTACAAAGAAAACCCGATCATTACAGCCGTGCTGCCTGACTGTAGCTTCGACAGGTACGCCACTGACACCTCCATCTTTTTTCCTCTTTTCATATAACAAATTTAACAGGAAACACATTTCCCCCTAGAGGTGAAAATCAGTGGTGAAATGTTACAAAGTACATTCACTCAAGTACTGTACTTAATTGAAAAGTTAGGTACTTGTACTTGAGTATTTTTATGTACATTTTGTTAATTTTACTTCAACATTTTGTAGGCAAACGCTGTATTTTTAAGTTAGTTACTTTGCAGATTTAGGTTATTGAAACAAAATATAAATCAACTAATACATTATGATATATTATTGTACCCAGCAGTGTATAATGTGATTTTAAAAAACACATTTACCAAGTGAAACATTAAAGTGACAAACATATCGATGCACTCTTTCAAATGTAATATGTTAAAATATAGGTTGCTGAAATAGAACATTATGCACAACGAGAACATTTACTTTTGGTATATATACCAAATACTTTTTTACACTTCAGTATTGCTACTTTTACTTAAGCAAATAATCTGAGTACTTCTTCCACTTCTGATGATAAGGACTCCCTCTGACATGTATCTGAATTGCAGGGGGTCAAAGATTGTGATCTGGGGGGAGAACCTGGACTCTGTTTACCGCACCATCATCCGCTTCAAACCCAATGAGAGGCACTTGAAACCTGTGACAAGGGTACAATGTTCATTATATTAACAAACACAGTTGTATTTGAATCTGCGTACCTGGCATTAAAGTACGAACACATTGTTTTATTTCAGGAGTGCATAGGTAAGTCCTTGCCCACGAGGATGGAGTGCGTCTCCCCCGTGTTCCTGAGGGATGAGACGGAGGAAGGAGAGCTTTCCTTCGACATGGACGGAGCGCTGGGACTCTGGAACAAAGAGTTTTCCTATCATCCGTACGGAGAGCCCATACCTTTTGAAACAGAGGGACACGTGCTGAATTTGTACCCTGGCTTTGACGAAGTGTCACTACATGTAAGAGAAAGCTCTGACGGTGTTATGTTTTGAATTTCTGACAAAATAAGTTATATATTTATTCAAATTGTCTTTTCTCTTTGCACAGCATCAGAAGCTGAATCTGGTGAGCTCCTGTATGACCATCATCATGACGGTGGCAGGCGTAGATTGTGATGCTAAAGTCCTGGATAATGAGATCACCTGCAGGATCCCCAAGAACATGACCATCCTCAGTGAAGGACAGCCAGTGAGGGTAAATCAGGCGGGAAGTTGAAATGATGATTAACTGACTGTCTTTCGTAAAACGAGCATGCAACAGGGGGCTCCAGGAAGTCCCCTCACTAGTTACATCTGTGAAACAGTTGGAAAAATAAGTTACGTCTGGCAGCTTGTATTTAGCGTGCATGCGGAAATTAGACTCACCTGGAAGAAAACATGAATTCCTTTAGTCCTATGTAGAACATCTGGCAGTCTCCTGTGGCAAAAATATGTGCTACACAACAACAACATTACGACTTCACTTGCTATAACTTTATTTAATCGTTTTTTTTACAAAATAAAGAAGAAACCTCAGAAAAAAGGATCATGGCAATTGCTTTAACCCTCCTATTGTTTTCGTTCCCCCCCCCCCTTACTTTGGTGTTCACGGTCAAATTCGACCGGTCCTGTTTTAACTGCTATAACATTAACACAAAAAACATTAATCATCACAACATTTCATTGAACACCCTTTCAAACTGTAAATATTTTATCAGACTACTGGTATACATGAACAACTGCAGTAAATATACAAAGAACAGACACTGAACATGTATTGCGTGTGCCAGGTGTGATTCATGTGGGGGGATGGGCACAAAAGAGCGGGAAATGTATCAAATTGTGTGTTTGTGAGTGCCAGGTGTGATTCACATGGGGGGATTGGGCACATAAGGGGGGACACACACATCTAGAGAGAGTGTGTGTGTGTGTGTGTGTGTGTGTGTGTGTGTGTGTGTGTGTGTGTGTGTGTGTGTGTCTGTGTTTTATCTGATCCGGATGGTTACTAATTCCTTTTCTTTATGGCGGTCATGTTTGACCGGGAACACCATGGGTGTTACAAAGTTGACTAAATCATCCAAAATTCAATGAAAGTGGTGATCAGCAATATGTTCAAATGTCTACTGTGAAGGATATC